CTAAATAATATAGTGATGGTGCTTAAACCTAAATAATATAGTGATGGTACTTAAACCTAAATAATATAGTGATGGTACTTAAACCTAAATAATATAGTGATGGTACTTAAACCTAAATAATATAGTGATGGTACTTAAACCTAAATAGTATAGTGATGGTATATAAACCTTAAAGGGATCCCAAACTCCCAACACATGTTGTGTTCATATTAAAGATAATGTTAAAAAAAAAGGTTTGAACCAAATTTTTTTGATTAAAAATAAATAATGAATGCATACTGTGAAAAACAAATGTTGTTGTTTTTGCCGAAGCTCGTCTTCTCCATTTTTTTCAACTAATCGGAGTCTTCAAATTATGCGTTGCAATCTACAGACTTTGGCAATTCCTTTGAAGCGCTTTAATTCATAAAAGTTTTAGTATTTGACGTCACAGTAGACTTTTAACAAAAGAAAAGTGTAATTAAACTAAGCTGTGTTTTTCTACTGTAGTATTTTTTTAACAGCAAAACAAATTTATTTGTATTATTTTTCCAAACATCGCAAAAAAAATTTTGTAAAAAGTAAAAACAATAAATTATTTTTATTTTATAGGAGCAACTTATTTTTTACAGATATCTTAATAATTTTTAGATTTATATATCTTACTTATATTTCTTTAATTATTTTAATTAAAACAAATATTAAAGCTTTACTTACCAATCTCATGATTTTCATACGAGTATTTTACTTTATATAGAACGTTTTATATAGGGTCTCTTGTTTTTGCGCAAGAGAGCGCAGTATTATATATTCTGATTCTTAATTATTTTTATTTAAACAAAGGGAACTATTTTCTAACTTCTCTGGTTATTTTTACGCTATGACAATTTTTTGTTTTCCCGTCGAAAAAAAGTATTTATTAACAATTACTTTCATAAACTGACAGTATTAATTAGAGATATTTAATGAATTGTTAACTTTTTTTATTATAAAATTTTTTTGATCACGCTGATTTAATTTAAATTGCTAAATTTGCTGAATTGGATACGGATAAAAAGGAAATACCATTTTATTTTACATTTGATTTTTAATAATGAAATTTTTAAAGTGTCAACAACTCTATACCAATTAGAACCTGTTAAGATTATGAAAAAAAAGTGCAAGAATACACTAAACAATACAGTTGACAGTAGTATCAGATATGAAAATTCGTGAAAGGATTTGTGAGATCCTGGTTTTGCATTAAAAGTACAATTAATTGCAACACAAGTCGGCATTAGAAATTTTGATTATAAGTTTACTGTTCAATATTTTATAACCATCAAATAAAAAACATAAAGTTTGAATATTTTCGCCCGTTTTATACAACTAATATTTAACAAAAATACGGACAAATTATTATTAAATAACGCAATAATTAACACATTAATTAAAGGCAATAATTCAAGATAGATGGTAATTTAAATTGTTAAAATGTCATAACGCGAATTAAAAAACATATTATATTTGGTATTTCCAAATTTGTGTCGTAATTGGCATTTGTCTCTTAACATGAAAAATTAAAAAATTTTAAAAACACAATTAACAAATACAAATTTTCAAGCAATTTTCTCTTCCAATTCTCACTTATTCAAAGAAAATTTACTATTAAACTTTTATTTCTCTCATCTAAAAAAAGAATGAGTGAAGCAAAAAAATATATATTCTATACAACTCTTACTCATTCAAAGTTTAATTGCGCGAAACTTTTCTTTCTCTTTTGTTCTACTCTTTTATAAAAGAGCGCCCAATGAAATAAAAACTTTTCTTTTTTAACATATAATTATAGTTTGAGATAAAATTAAATTAGAAATAAATCAACAATGAGCAAAGCAACGAACAAATTAATCTGGAACTATTTTGATATTTATGAAAATAATCAACATAAACAACATTGCCAACAACAATTATCAAATAAACAACACAATCTTGCATAATTTTAGGGGCATTTTATTTTTATTGCTTAGTCGTTCTAAATAATAAGTAAATTTAGTTCAAGTTAATAATTCAATATTTACAGTTGCAATAGAATAAAGAAATGGTGTTTAATACTGAACTTTTTATTTAGTTATTTATTTTTTTACCTACATTTGTTATAAAAAACTTTAGAACCCCTGTCATTAAAATAATTTGTTTTAAATATATATTGATTTACATGATTATTCAAACTAATTTTTTTCGTTTGACTTTCCGAACTTCATGCAAAGCAAATTGAAACGAAATATCATCTAACCAAATAAAAAAGCTGTTACTAATTTTATACGGGTAATTAATGTAAAACAATTTTTGCGATAATAAATATTCATAATTTATAAACATTAAATATATGGCGCAATAACAATTTATAGCAACGAACCTGCATAAAATATTTAAGGTTTTTAATATCTTTTTAAATATTAAAAGTAGGAAAAAAAAAAAAAAACTAAACAAATAATCAAAAAAACTTCGACTAAAAATAAATAAAAATATTTCTAGAGTTTAATTTATTAAAAGTCTACCGTGACGTCAAATACTAAAACTTTTATGAATTAAACGCGCTTCAAAGGAATTGCCAAAGTCTGTAGATTGCGACACATAATTTGAAGACTCCAATTAGTTGAAGATGAAGAAGACGAGCTTCCGCAAAAACAATATTTGTTTTTCACGGTATGCATTCATTATTTATTTTTAATCAAAAAAATTTGGTTCAAACCTTTTTTTTTAACATTATCTTTAATATGAACACAACATGTGTTGGGAGTTTGGGATCCCTTTAATAATATAGTGATGGTACTTAAACCTAAATAGTATAGTGATGGTGCTTAAACCTAAATAATATAGTGATGGTACTTAAATTTAAATAATATAGTGATGGTACTTAAACCTAAATAATATAGTGATGGTACTTAAACCTAAATAATATAGTGATGGTACTTAAACCTAAATAATATAGTGATGGTACTTAAACCTAAATAATATAGTGATGGTACTTAAACCTAAATAATATAGTGATGGTACTTAAACCTGAATAATATAGTGATGTCTCTGGCTGACAAAAACGGACAAATACAGATTGACATTGCAAAGAAGCTGTACTAAACTCTGTTTACAAATTATACTGTTGAAAGAAAACAAGTTTAGTTTACTGAACTTCTTTATGTTTAATCATATTCTACTAAATTTGACTCCACTTATTGACAAGAGTTAATTTTTTACATGTTAAACAAATGCAAAAAAAAAAGATTCCAAAAAAAGACTATTACTTAAAATAAACAGTTTGTAATTAATCTTGAAGTAGTATATGATTGCAGTGAGAGGACTCTAAAAAAAGTTCAATTATATTATTATTATATTACAATATTATTATAAAGCAACAGACAAAGGTGGTAGCATCTGCATTTTAACAAGAAGGATTATGAAGAAAAAGTTAACACCATGTTAGCAGATGATACTATATATAAACTCCTACAATACGACCCCCATAGAAATGGCACGGAATGTTATAACGGCAATTGACTACGTTTTATTCAAAGGCGTGATTGATGAGAAAACAGCGCACTATATATGCCCAAACAATCCTTGTTGTTTTCCTCTGTTCAATGGACTCCCCAAAATACACAAACCTGGAATTCCGCTCAGACCTATTGTATCGGCTTGGTACAATAGGTCTGAGCGGATGGTCCCACAGACTACCTCTACTACTTTGTGACTAAGTTCATACAACCACTAGCCAAAACTCTTCCTTCATATTTCAGAGACTTCACACAATTCCTCCACATGCTCTGAAATCAACCACTAATGCCTCACAAATACATTTTCGTCTCCGCTGACGTTACCTCCCTATACACTAACATACCCCATAGAGGTAGTATAGAAGCTATCAAACAACTTTTTGATAACACTCCACATGATCTAAGACCACCCAATTCACCACCTGTAGCATATATACAGATTATGATTGACACCATTCTCACAAACACGACGTTTCAATTTGGTGACCGCAACTATTTACAAATGACAGGAATCTCTATGGGTAAACACATGGCATCGCCATGCATTAACTTATTCATGAGCACACTGGAAGAAGCCATTACTGGACAATTCAAACACAGCATCGCCTTCTACAAAAGATTCGTTGATGACATTTTCTTCATATTCACATCCTCTATAGAAGATTTCCATCACATTACCACATTTATGAACAACCTGCACCCCACCTTTAAATTTACGTTTAACCACTCAGATACTTTAATTGACTTTATAGACCTAACTCTCTACAAAAACCATCTAGGAAAAATACAGAGCACACTGCACCAAAAACCTATCAAAACAATGAGCCTCCTACATTTCAGTTCATACCACCCACATCACATCAGTTCTTATCCATAGCCAAGCAATGAGATACAATAGGCTAATGTATGACTCATCTCCTATTTAGGAAACTCTGCACATTAGCCTGCCATTTGTTAATTCTGTCAATCGGTTTTTAAGGGGTACCATCTTGCCATCATCAACAGAAACATCACTAAAACCCTACTACACACCCAGAAAGGGTGTGTAGTAGGGTTTTAGTGATGTTTCTGTTGGAGGGGGTTATGTGTATATATATATATATATATATATATATATATATATATATATATATATATATATATATATATATGTATATATATATATATGTATATATATATATATATATGTATATGTATATATATATATATATATATATATATATATATATATATATATATATATAAATATATATATATAAATATATATATATATATATATATATATATATATATATATATATATATATATATATATATATATATATATATATATATATATATAGATATATAGATATATAGATAGATATATATAGATATATATATATATAGATATATATATATATAGATATATATATATATATATATATATATATATATATATATATATATATATATATATATATATATATATTATTTTCTACTTAATTTTAGGTTGTTGGAGAAAAGAAAGAAATTTAAAATTTGAGGAGATTATGTCTATTTGATTTAGTTTGATTTATTTTTTTTTTTATTAAAATTTTTAAAAGTGTTTTTTTTTAATACCTTTTTTAAATAGTGTTTTTTTTTTTTAATACCTTCTTTTATAAAAATTAAAAAGTACAGAAGTTTATACAAAGTTTATGTATTATTATCAATATAATTTTAAAGATTTATTTATAACTTTATTATTAATATAGTTTTAAAAATTTATGTCAATTGTAGAAATGTTTGAAAAGTGAAAATTTTTTAAAAATAAATATTTTCATTATTTTGAATTAAAATATTTTTCGATTAAGTTTAGAATTTTAAAAAAATGTTAACTAAAACTTTAGTATAAAATGTAATATTAGAACTAAAATATTAATATAAAAAATAATTTTTTTGACTGGTATAAATTGTTTACTGTAACCTACTGGTATAAATTGTTTACTGACTGTAACCTACTTTTTTGACACCTTTTATCTGAAAAAATGGATTTTTCAGAGTTTTAGTAGGACTTCAGATCCTACTAATTTGACTTGATCTTTCTGACTCTAACGAAGACAGTGAAATTAACACTCATAAATCATCGTGTATATAATACATACATACATGCATACATACATACATACATACATACATACATACATACATACATACATACATACATACATACATACATACATACATACATACATACATACATTAAATATCCAACATTTGCATACTTTTACATAACAGTTTTTAAAAATTAATACCAAGTTAATAGTAACATTGTATCATTGTTATTTTATTATTCAATTTTTGTTTGTTGTATTTATTAAATTTTTTACTTTAATTATTATCTACCATGATACTGTTCTTTGGAAATGACTAATTAAAATTTCAAAAACAAAACCTCTGAGAAACTGTTAAGTTAAGAATTTTAAGAGCATTGTTATGGCAACCTTTGTTATGTATGTTGAATTATTTTTAATATAAATATCTATTTAAAAAAGAATTATGTTTGGAATGTTTTAGATCAGCATCAGTTTATTTGATCTTGTTTTAAATTAACTTTCAGCAATTGTAATTAAAGTGAGTTGCCATTAAAGCATTAATTTTTATTTTGAAGTCATGAATTCTGAAAAGTTTGATTTAGTTTTTTTAACATTTCAAAAATGGATTTTTCTGTGAATATATCAAATGACAATGGTTGTGTGAAAAAGTTAAATAAAAGAAAAAGAAAGAAAAAGGGAAATAAGGTTAGTTAATTGGGTTTGTAATAATTTTATTTTAGACAAAGTTCATACAGTTTATTTTGTAACCTTACTTTTCATTTTATCAGCCATACTATACTTGTTTCATTTTATCAGCCATATTATTCTTGCTTCATTTTATCAACCATATTTACTTGTTTCATTTTATCTGCCATGTTACACTTGTTTTATTTTATCAGCCATATTATTCTTGTTTCATTTTATCAGCCATATTAAGGCGAGTTTCCACTCATCCGTTTTTTTATGGGAACGGGAAAGGGACGGTAAAAATAATCACGTGGGCATGCCTAGTATAAGTTTTAATATTTCCGAAGGACAACTACGCATGCTCACGTGATTATTTTTCCTTTTGCAATCCCGTTCCCGTGAAAAAATGGATAAGTGGAAACTCACCTTTATACTTGTTTCATTTTTGTTTCATCACATTTACTTTACATTATGTTATTTAGTAAATAATCATTACTATAATAAATAAGTATTACAAATGTTAATTATTATTATTTATAAATAATATTTTACCACTATAGATTTTTCTTGATTTATTATCCCCTATATCCATAAAAACTAATAAAATATTGTTTAGCGTGTAAATTTTGTTTTAAATCATCTTTATATGATCAGAACAGCAAAAAGATTTATTTTAAGTTAAAAGTGAAGTTTTTCTATTTGTTGCTATATATTGTCTTAAAAACTTAATTTTTTATTTAAACAGTTTAAGGCTATAAGTGAAAACATGCATTAAAAAATTTATCATTAATTTATCATATCAGGGCTGTGCACTATATTTGAACTGAATTTGCACTTGCAGCCAACCTCCATTATATGATTTCCCTTGCAGCCAACCTCCATTATACAATTGTAAAGTTGTCTCTAATTTTTAAAAATTATGTTTTAATGATTTATTATATTACTCTTGTACATAAAAAAGTTTACCTTCTTTCTGTTTATCTTCCCTCTGTTTATCTTCTCTCTGTTTATCTTCTCTTTGTTTATCTGGTTTCCTTGCCTCTGCTTACAATCTAGTTATGGTCAAAATGTTTAAGTAGATTTTTCTTTTTAATTGCGTAACTTTAATTTTTTTGTTTTTTTTGTTTCAAGTTTGTTTGTTTTTTTTGTTTTTTTTTACTTTTTAATGCATACCTATTTTATCTGGTAAAAGCATAAATTAAAAGCTATAGCAACAGACAGTGTTTATTGTTTATTTATTTGTGTGTGTTTTTTTATTTTTCATGTTTTAGAAAAAATTTGAAATGGATGACGACAATTCCACCCACAAAGAATTAAATGATGAAATTAATGAAATACAACAAGATGGTAATTTTAAAATGTAAAAATTGAAATAATAAGAGAAAATCTTCTAGTGTATGATTTTTTCTGTTTTATTTTGTTGAAAAAATTATTTATTTAATGCAGGTGGTGATAAAATGGCAAAAAAAAAGAGCAAAAAAAAAAAAGTAAATTTTTTTCTTTAATTACTGAGATAATATAAAATTATTAATACTGCTATAAAAAGTAACAATATGTACTTTGATTTTTTAGTGAATCCATTGTAAATGTAATGTAATTTGATAAAAACATAAGTGTAAAGTATTCTAGTTTAGCTAATGAAAAATTATTTTTACTGTATTTCACCATAAAGAAAAACTTATAAAACTAGTTATCATAAAATGTAAAACACAACTGGGGGCAAAAAAATACAAATTCAGTCTTATTGCCAAGCCTCTTTGAAATATAAATGTAAATTACGTTATGTTGTTAAATTGAAACTCTAAAAATGTTTTGATGCACTTGGAACTTATTGAGTTTTAAGCTAAAAGCTTAAAGATTTAAAATAAAAATTTTAATATTATATTGTAGCACAATAACTTGTAAAATAACAATATTACAAATAAGGCAACCGCAAAACAAAAGAATCCTTTAAAATAGTTGATTTTGAAGTAACTATAATTCAAACACTAACAATTTCTGTGAATCTTGTTTTTTTCCTATAAAGTCTGTGAATCTTGTTTTTTTCCTATAAAGTTTCAATGCCCCAAAATAATTTTGGACTTTTAAGACTCAGGATCCTGTATAAAAATTGACTTTTAGACCTAGATCTCTGGAGTTTAATCTATATTTCAAAGTTAACTAATTTAATTGATATTGAAAAAATGGAAAAAAACAAACTATATTAAATATTTGTAGTAATGGTTTTAATAATTTGTTTTTAACAAACATAATGAGAGTTTTTAACAAATGTTCCAGGAATCTAATGGATATGTCATTGTTAAAAATGCCAATATTATAAATTGCTAATGTTTGTTGTTGTTTTTTTGTTGTAGAAAGAAATTTCAAAAATGGACCTAGATGACACCAATTCAATATTGAAAGATGAAGATATAACTATTAACATGGAATCAGAACAAAATGGTGTTTTTATTTTTGTTTTTGTTTTTTTGTTCTGTTGCATGTTCTTGTTTTCAATTGATGTTAAATAAAAATTATTATTTATTACAGGCAATAATTATTTTATTGAAGTCAGGGGGAAAAAGAAAAAAAAAGTAATATTTTATAATACCATTATTATTTATTTGATTTTTTTGAAAATGTAAAAACAATATAGAATTATTCTGATAGAATTAAGTTTTTTTTTCTCATTTTAATAATGCTATGCAATGTTTTTGCACAGGAGCATCCTCCATCCATCATATTTGATATTGATGAACTTTTTTCTTTGGGAGGAAAACGAGCAATGAACACTTCATTAAATATAAGTGATATTCGTACTCTCTTATTATCTGCAACTGACCCGAACTTTACAGTGCTTCCCAATTGGTGTCAGCTTAAAGCAAGAAATAGAATTAAACGCTCTCTTTTTATAATGGTTAGCGGCGTTTCAGAAGATGATTTCAAAAATAATATGGATTGTTTTCCATTCTTAACAAAAAATTTTGAAAAAGTAAAGCTTTTTTTTTAAGTTTAATGAGGGAGAGTGGGAGAGCTTTATATAAATATAAGTTAGTTTTATTTTCTTCAACAAAAGCATGTTCCTGTTCGAAATGATGGCTCTGATAACATGATCAAATCTCCATTAGAGAGCTACTTAATGTATACTATTTCAAAAAAGATACTTCTAAAACAGTCTATTAAAAAAACTAATGACTATGGTACGTGTTGTTTATGATATTACATTTGGTAAAGCTATATAACTTTACTGACAGTTTTATATTTTTTAACATTCTATATTATATATAGTAATTTAATAATTAATTTTTTTATAACTTTCACTTTAAGACTTTTGATATTTTTGTTTAACATAGTTGGTAAGATTTAGATATGATACGTACAATGACATGTGTAAGCTCTGATTGTACATGTCATTTACATATGATATGTACAATGACATGTGTAAGCTCTGATTGTACATGTCATTTACTCTTCTTAATCTAAAAATGTAATACAAATGTTGTTTTTCAGAAGATACTGAACTTGATTTTCATGATTACATTTTAAGTGATTTTCAATTGAAAGTCAATGATTACCCTGAATGGAACTCAGCTGCTCTTGAGCATGGTATGTTTTTTTTTAGACACCCTTTTAGCTTTCTTATTAAAAATGTTGTTTTTTCTGTTTAACAATAACAATTGGGCAAGATTTTTATTTTTCTCGTGGTTTTTACAGATACAGTTGTGCTTGTTATGGGTTATTCTATGAAAAAGTGGGAGGGGCTTGTAATCTACCATTAAAATTTTCCTAATTTTTTATCAAAACAGTCACTTTTATTTCATAAATTACCTTGTGAAATTTCAGCACTGTTATCAAACTGGTGTTTGAGATATGGTTGTTTCAAAATCAACTAATTTAAAGAATTTTTTTGTTTTGTGGTTGCCTTGTTTTTAATGTTGTTATCTTTTTTATTATTCTTTCTGGTACAGAAAGAGGCGTGAACTTGTTAAATGCTCTCTTGTTAAATGCTATCCCACAGTGCTCTGTGATAAGACCGTAAAGACTTCTAAGAGCACCTAAATAACTACCAAAAAAAATAAATAAATAGATCTGAAATCCAAGATGAGTTGGATTTTTTTTTTTTTTTTTTTTTTTTTTTTTTGTAGTAAGATACATATTTATGTTTGTTAAAAGTTAAAAAAATTTTTGAGCATGTAAAATCATGCTAAAAATGAAAAAATGAAAAAAAAAGTGTTTTTGGTTTTTATTATTCTTTTAATTGATTGACTTCAGAAAATTTTAAGAATTCATTTCATTTATTTGCTAAAGAGCCCTGTATTCAAATCATCAAATGTTTGCTTCCTTTTAAGTACTACTAATATATTTAGTCAGGTAGTCTTTTACTAAACCGCAGGGCAAAATTGAAGTTAAAATTGAAGACCTAATATTATTTGGCTATCTGTTTTTTTCTTCTTTCTAGTTAATAAAAAAAGCTTAAAAAAGTTTAAAAAAAAAAAAAGCAACTTGTGTTTCAAAAAGTATTCAATGTATGTATATTAAGATATTGGTGATAATAATCAATATGAAATACTTTGTATAAGTCCATGCATTTTTTGCTTACATATTGTTGATACATAATAAATGTATCTAAAATAGAAATGAACTTATGTACAGTTAATATTTTATAAAATGATTGAGAGAGACATATCACAGGGTTCAGCGAGATAAAGATTTATTAACATCTAATATTGAATATAGAGTTCTCACCTCTGTATTAGATGTTAATATTGAAATTTGCTTTTATCATAAGCAACTCTTACTTAAAAGATTTGTTAAAGGTTTCTTTGACAAAAAATTTAGACCTATTTAAGAAGCAAAAAATAAAATGATAAAATTATTAGTTTTTAATTAATTGTGCAATTTCTTTTCATAATAAGTACATCACATCATATTAGATGTACCAAATACATAAGTATTTGGTACATCTAAGTCAACTATAACTAAGGCAAGGCAATTTACAGCTGATAAGGGAATATTAGTACTTCTAGAAACAAATCTTGTTACTATAGATACCATAGATAAATCTTATCAAAAAAAATTAGGGTATTTTAATGCCTAGCACCTTTGACCAAAATTTGTTTGTTTATTTTTAAAATTTTAATGCCTACTGTTTTGGTTTTAATCTTTGTTTTTGAGTTAATTTAGTATAGGTTAGCACAAGTTAAGACCTTCTAAAATTTTTATCATCCAAATATATTATTTATTCAAATCTGCTTGGTTATCAATAAAAAACCTCAATAGAAACTATGTTTAACAAACATTCTTTTAAACTTGTTTTTTATTAATTTAAAAAATATATATTTTTTAGAAATATTATTCCCAGGCCTCTTTTCATGATCTATTAACTTTTCCTTAATAGACTGTAGGTAATATACAATCACGTTAGATTTAGTTTTCATTGTTTTCATGGAAAATAAACATTCTCATCTTAAAAATTATAAATAAATGAATATTTAGTTTGATCTTATCTACAGCTGTTTATTAAACTGTAAAACAAAAATATGATGACTGTCAAATAAGCTGTAAAACAAAAATAACGACCACCAAATAATCTGTAAAACAAAAACAAGACCACCAGCCAATAAAAAGTTTCCTTAAAACAGTAGGTTTTTTAATAACAAAAATTTAAAAACAAATTCAATAACAGTATTGAAGCTTAATTAGTTAATTTATGTTATGTATTTTATAATTTTTGTTATGTATGTTATAATCTATGTTATGTTTAATAGGCATTATTTCTACTCGAAAAAACAATGAAGTAATGCGTGCACACAAAAATAGTAAATTATTAGCAATAGATTGTGAAATGGTATATAAATATAATATTGATTATATAGTAATTCATTTTTAGTTATGGAAATAACTTAATTCTAATTTAATATTATTAGTAATAATTTATATTTATATATGTATATATATATATATATATATATATATATATATATATATATATATATATATATATATATATATATATATATATATAATTATTTAATTCTTAAATCTTGATTTAGTGCAGTGTTATGGGAGATAAACGTGCTTTAACACGAGTGTCTATTGTAGATGATAAATTGAATCTTGTTTATGATCAACTTGTTCAACCAGATTCCCCTATTACAGACTATCTTACACAGTAACTATATATTTATATTATTTTTAAATCATATTATATATTATATATTCATATTATATAACAAGTGATGATAGCTTTCTTGAATAGTAACCACGGTTGTATTTGTAGAAAAGAGAAACAGATGCTGCGACCATAGGATAAAGGCTCAGAGTTATTAGCTAATCCATGTCCAACAACATTTACAATGCATTAATAGGCCTAAAGGAATCCTTCTATATATTCGCATTATGGTAAATTTGTGTTCTTGGCCACAAAATTGACTCCATTCTGTTGGTACCATAAAACTGTATTTTTTGAATAATAGCAAGTTGCTAGATCTGCCCAAGATAAAAAAAGATATTGTGCATGAAAATTCGCATGACAACTTCAATTCTACTTTTGTAGAACAATCACTATGACAATTAAAAAAAAAAAGATCAAGCATCAAATCTATTGTAACAAGTAATTCTATCCAAGACATGGCAATAAAATCTTAAACCAACCATGGCCAAAAGGATTTGATAAGCACTGCTATGTTAGATCAAATTCTGATTAAAGTATCATCATTTTAATGTTGCACTAATAAACCATTATTTAGTTGTAAGTCACAAAATTTACCTAAATTAGATAATCTGTAAGAAGTGTTCTACCTTATATGAGATCTTTAAAAAGATGAAAGTCTCTTTTGCAAGCCTTTTAATGTAAACATGTATTTACAGTGTAAATACATAAGTTTACATTAAACAGCCTCAGGCAATTTTTTTTTTTTTTTTTTTTTTATTTTATACTTTTCTTTTCATACTTTTCTTTTTGTTAACAGTTTATAAAGCAGTTTTGAAAGACTAACTGCTTTAATTTATTGATTTTTTTTTTTTTTTTTTTTTTTTTTTTTTTTTTTTTTTTTTTTTTTGCATCTATGATTTTATCTGTAACATTGAGATTTCTTAATTGATTCATAGTTTTACTTGCATTGAATTTTTGAATTAAATTTAGAAATTTTGTAGTATTCTCTGAAATTTCATAGCAAGTTCTGGATTTCTCTTGAGTGCTTCCTTAACTTTCAATACTAATTTTTTAAAAACAAATTTTTTTCTGACCACTTCCAGATTTTTAGTTAATAGTTTTATCATTGTACATTTTTATAACATGTTGAACAGTTCTTAGTGGAGATCCTAGCTGAACAGACTCTTTTCTTGGACAACTTTTGGTTTTGTATAAAAAAATCCAAGATTCTTTTTCTATGCATTTCTTGTTTTAAGCACATTTTGATTTAATTTATCATTTATTAAATTTTGACATCTTTATTTTAATCTTTAAAAAGCGTCTTGTAAATACATTTTGGAAAAGTTAAATACATGCTGATTAGAGGAGTAAATACATACTGATTAGAGGAGTTGTGGTTTAGTCTGATATTGATTAGGATTTGATATATATATATATATATATATATATATATATATATATATATTATATATATATATATATATATATATATATATATATATATATATATTGATTAATTAGATTTAATTTGTTTTTATTGATACTATTGAAGTTATTAATAAAATTCTCTTAGTTACTAAAATTTGTTTTTAATTTGTTTTTTTTTTCTTTATTTAAAGGTTCAGTGGGATAACTCCTGCAATGTTACACGGAGTAACAACCACACTTCAAGATGTACAAAGAGATTTACTTAAAATTATCCAACCAGATACAATATTAATTGGTCATTCACTCGATTTTGATTTGCGTTCTTTGATGGTAGTTTTTTAAATTTTTATATTTTTGCAAAGATTTTATATAATATATATATATATATATATATATATATATATATATATATCATGTCATAAATATTACTGTTATATTGTTATTTTTTTATATTTAATAATTTTTGTGCAAAAAAAGGAAATAAAGTGAATTTAGATATAAAAAGAAAATTTTTAGATAAGAATGAAAAAATGATTTGAAATCAGTTGAAAGTTATGATTAGCTTTAAAAAATGATTGAAAGGAAGTTGGAAAGGATTTGTATTAAATGAGGCAGTTTCTTGAGAGAATTGAGAGAAAGAGAGTTGTAATTAGATGTTGTAAGATGTAATTAAGGTTATGTAAATGGAAAAATGAAAATAGTAAGATAAAATGTAAAATTTAATTGCTAAGACAAATTGCTAAGACAATATATGAATGGTAACTTCAAATATTTTTTTCAAATTAACAATAGTTTTTATTTGCAGTTTTTGAAGCCAACAGTTGTTTCATTTTTTAGCTATCAGATGATGATGATGATCGTCAGCTATCAGATGATGATGATCATCATCAGCTATCAGATGATGATGATGATCATCAGCTATCAAATGATGATGATCAAGATCAAGATTATTATCATGATGATAATAATTATGATGACGACTTTTTTTGTGTTTGTGTGTTTGAATTTAGGATTAGATTTTTTATTAATTTAGCTTCATCATGACAATATCATTGATACATCTGTACTGTATGTTGATAATCGTGGGCCAAGATATAAATCATCTCTCCGTTGCCTTGTAAAAAGTTACTTAAAGTAGGACTTTTTTTTGGGGTTTTCAAATTTTTTTTTTTTTGAGTTTTTTAGAATTTTTTTAATTATTAAATGAATTTTATAGTCGAGATATTCAAAACACAGATAAAGGACATTGCTCAATTGAAGATGCAAGAGCCTGTATGGAGCTAGTGAAATTAAAAATAAAAAAAGGTAAATTAACTTTGCTTTCAATTGGTTTGATTTTGTTGTTTGTTGTTTGGTTGTTGTTAAAAACATTTTAACACTTTTTTAAATATTTTTATCATGTCATTAACAACCATACCATAGTTATCATTTATCCTGTCATTTTGTCAATTTAGCTACCATAAATCTAAATATATATTTAGTTTTAGAAACCTTTTTTTTGTAAATTTTCTTTAAGTGAAATATCATTTCATTGTTTACTTAAAATTTCTCATCAATTATTTAGATGCTTTTTTAGTTTAGATCAAAATTAGAAGTTTTATTGTTAACAATTTATAAGCTGTTAAATAACTCTTGTTAATAAGCTGTTAAACAACTCTTGTTGATAAAGCCTCTTTACTTTAGTTGATATTTTTCTCAAAGGTTTCTTGCGGCTTTAATATTTATTGTTAAAGCTATTTATAAAACCCCTATCAGATGTTGCTAGCCAAACTGTATGTATTAAAGCTAACTGATCTGAAATTAATTCAGGGAATTTTTGTTAAATAAATGAGAGTAAATTATCTTTGGTATAGGTATCTGTGGTATCTTTAATCTCAACAGGATGCACGATTGGGTCCTCTTTTTTATAAATTTTTTTAAAAATGTTTCTTTAAATGCACTAAGATTTTGATAATACGAAAGTTATGTTTACATTAGGTTTACATGTTTATAAAACACTTTAGAACTTTAGCATGGTCAAAATATTTAGTATTACTATTTATTGAATCAGGCCTTCTCGTAAGAGGTGTGCGATCCCACGCCTTATATGACCACGCATATAGTTCTTTGTTTTAACAACTTGACCACGGCTCATTGCAAGTTTTGATAATTAGTGCATTTAAAAATTGCGCTAAAAAAAAACAAAGCAAATTAAAATAAACAATCCATAAACTGTAAAGAGAATAAAATCCTTAAAATAATATATATAACAAAAATTAACCTAAAAAAGTAAAATATTTAAAGAATGATAAAATAAATAAAGGAAAAACCAGGAAAAAAAATCAAAACACACAAAAATCACAGCTCTAATAATCTTTATCATTCCTTCCCATGAATAAATAGGCTAATACAAGGGCGGATTCATAGTGAGGGAAAGGGTAATGAAATTTAATAAAATTTTGTGGTGCACATTAAAAATTTCATAAAAAAGTTAATAGGATACAGGGTGCAACAAATCAACAAATGTGCGCGCATTTCTTTAAGACAGACAGAAAAACAAACATCACGTTTCATTAATTTTGTTTATGCAAACATTGCCGTTTGATTAAGATATTTCATAACAAACGCGTTACTTCAGCAATTTTTTCAAAATAATTTTGCGATCAATAGTTTTTTATTTATTACAAAAAACACATATTTAAAATGAAAAAAAATTAATTGCAGAGACTTTTTTTAAAAAATGCCAAAACATAATTACTTTTTTCAATTGCCTCACTTTTAAGTAAAATAAATAAAAAAAAGTAATTGTTTTAGCATGGTTTTTGCATGCGTTCACAAAAGTATGATAATTTTACTTAAAATAGATGCTTTTGCAAAAACTTCAAAAGAAACCGTCCTTAAACAATTTGATTGCTTTCTTCTATTGAAGAAAGCGATCCTAATGTTTAGCAATTACATTAAAAGTTTAAAGCAAATGATTTTATTATAAATAACAGACTAAACCACAACTCCTCTAATCAATATATGTATTTAACTTCTCCAAATGTTTTTACAAAGATGCTTTTTAAAAAAAATGGTTTTCAAATTTTAAGCTAAAATTTGAGCTTAAAAAAAAGAATTAAAAAAAGCCAAATTAAATTAGAAATAGTTTGGTTTGACCCACCATAAAGCAAAAATATTTTCTACAAACATAGAAAAAGTGTTTTTAAAATACAAACCTTGTTTGTCAAGGTTTGTGTTTCAGAGTTATAGAGTTGAGAGAGAGTTGTAACCACAATTAAAGCAGCCTCCTCAACTGTAGTGGCCTTCTTGCTCTTAGGGAGGTAAATTAACAATTCACCTCTGCCCTTCCCCCCCCCTTCCTTCCTTCCTTTCCCTCCCCTCCACCCCACTCCACCCCCCACCCCCACCCCCAAAAAAAAGGCATTAAACTTTGTTCTTGTTAGCATTAAACTTTAATACTTTCGGTGGTGTGCTTGGATTCGTTATCTTGTTTGAATTTTTAAATCAAAGGGAGGTTTTACTTGACATATGATAACATGACATTTTCTAGTATTTCTTTGTACATATGTTGATCCATTTTCCCTTGAATTCTTTGCAATTGGGCCCACACCACCATGAAAAACTGTCCCGAACAATCACATTGCCATGATTTATGGTCTTTAGGGTATACCACTAGCTAAGTGCTTGGTTTTGTGGATGATGAACATTATTTTCCATCAGATTCAAAGTGATTAAATGTAGACTCATCAGTCCAAAGCACATTTTTCCAAAAACGTAAGTCCTTTAATTTTTTTAATTTTCAGTGTGCTAGTAAAAGGATTTAGCTTAGTGATACAGGCAGTGTGTGTGTGTGTGTGTGTGTGTGTGTGTGTGTATACATACATATATATATATATATATATATATATATATATATATATATATATATATATATATATATATATATATATATATATATATATATATATATATATATACATATATATATCTCAAACTGTTTCATTGAAAACGTTTAGTTAATTACTATTAAAATTCTCTGGTTAAATCGAACCTTGGATAATTCAAACTTTGTTTGAGAAGTCTAACCATTTTTTGTACTCTTTTAGCAAGTTCTTTAGTTAACTTAAACTTTTTGTGTGGAAGACAAAGAAATCAAAATAACTTTTATTCCATATAAAACATAAATAACGGTAGCCTAATATTTTCTATTATTTTTATTTAGATCTGAATAGAATAGAACATTATTAGACATAAAACAATGTTATAATAAAACTGTTACAAAATAAATAATTATTAAATCCTGTTAAAAAAGAAATTATTTTACAGATTTATTAGATTTTCCAAAAATATGATGGATAACTTTTAGAAGCAATTTTATTATTAAATAGTATGGAAGTCATTTTGTTGCTTAACTTATTTTAATATTATCTTTTGAGTGTACAACTTGAATACAGTACATAACTTCTTTCACTGAAACATTTTTCATTTTTTTGTTAGTATAACTGTATATTTAATGTTTACTTTACCATTAAATAAAGAAAAATCCCCTAACTTGAACTAATATCTCATATTAGCCAAAGTTTGACTAAATAGGAATTCATGTTAGTCTGATATTTGTTAAGTCAACCATTTTTCTTTGGCCCTATTATATATACAGTTAATTCCCTCAATGGGAATTAACTGTATATATAAATAAGTGTACATATGTGTGTGTGTCTATATATATATATATATATATATATATATATATATATATATATATATATATATATATATATATATATATATATATATATATATATATGTATGTATGTATGTATATATTCATAATATATGTATGTGTATAATATATAAATCTACAAATGTCGAGTAGTTAGTTTCTTCTCGCTGGTAAAAGAATAAATGCCAAAGAGCAAGTATTGCTGATTTGAATTGATAAATGTGGAAAATTTAATTTTCTTCTGCCATAAACTTATTACTTCTTTTTCAATTTGCTTTATGTGTTCTCGTGTCCCTTTGATGGATTCTTCCAGATTACTAAATTACAAACTACTTCTAGTTGTTCATTTTACCGGTAGCAGTTGTATCTGTTATAATCATTTTTATACAATTCCATAAATCAAAAAAGTCAATAGTTTCCACCAATCCATTAAAAATTCTGTTTTACAATCTTTTAAAACAAGAACAGCTAATTTGACATCATTTGTAACATTTTTCAGAATCACGGCTTGGTGTTTATTATAGTTAAAATATTTTCCATCACAATGGAAACAATAATTTTCATTTTTAAAATTTTTTTGAAATAACATTTTTTTTTTGCTTCACTCATAATTGCTTATATATTGATGACTGATTAGGTGTCAATATCTAATACAATATCTTAAACAAAAGAGCTATCATCAAGAAAAGTTGCTGCACACTGCAGCAACTTTTCTTGATAATAACTTTGCTGCTGGTTATAGTTTTTAAAATGGTGAAGTTTTGTGATACATCTTTTTTCTGGAGCTAGTATAAGGTATTGGTGTGTCAAAACATTCATCCCCGCTAATCTCAATTGCCATAGTGTTAAAATCAGTATTAATATCTTCATTTTCTATAGACAAGTCATTCAAGTTTCCATTTTGGATTTTTTTGATTCTCTTTGATGGATGTGTTTTTGTTGAGTCGACTACTTTATAAGAATAATAACCTGCTCTTCCCTGTGTTTCTATCTGCATATTATAAATTTTTTTGTCTTTACTCATTAGCCACACACCCTTCAAGTCAGTAATATCAAACAATTGAGAAAAAGAAGTGGTAACTATATATTAAAAAACAGTTTTTTAATAAAAAATATTTACTACAAAAAATATTTACTAAAATTTAAAATTTTTGAAATTTTACAAAAAATATAAAATTTAAAAAAATATTTTCAAAATAAAAAAATTCCTACTGTAAAAAATTTAAAATATACATATATATATGCTAACAGAGAAAATGCTAGCAATATTGTAAGTAAATGCTAATAAAACAATAAGTATGAAAATTTGACAGAAAGCAACACATTGAAAAGTTACTGCAGAAAAAATATTAACAAGCTTAAAAAAATCAAATATTACAATCTAATAGTTCTATTGTTCCAAGAGGAAATGCAGATCTTTTCACATATGATACTGTTTTTCTCATGGAGGATATAACAGGGTCTGATGTACAAAGTAATCAGTGTAAAACATCTTGATTTGTCTTTTTTCTATCACATTTTCTTGAATGATTCAGACCATACCGTTTGAAGTCCTTGTTCCGGGCTTCTTGGGCCTCTTCACTCATTTACCCAATAGGCAACATCATTCTTTCAATCACATTATGCCCATGAATTAGCAGTTTGTGCAAACTTTGTGGCATGTAGTACCACTAATAATGTTGAACATACAGTCGTGCTGTATTTAAACAAAATACTTTAAAACATTTAACACGGATTTCATAACCACTAGAAATGCAAGCCAGTATAATATGAAAGTTTTTTTATTAATTGAAGATTGAGGCCAGTAATTTCATTAAAATTTTCTTCATTTTGGAATGCTCTTCTTGCAGTGTTTCCATTATTAGAATTGCCTGCTCTACCGGATCGAAGTTTTTTCTACTACAAGACCCATTTTTTCTTCAACTTTTGCTGTACTACACTTTTTTGCTTTTTTACTTTCTGTTTTTCTTCAACTGATCTTGCCTGCTATTTCTGAATTGGTAATTTGTAGCTGATATATAGTAGACACTCAAAAGTTCTTATCCATAAGTGCAGAGAGGACAAGCCATACTGCAAACCATGCTTAGTGTGCTTTCTTGCAACTGCATTATCAATATTGCTCATATCTGATGGTTTACAGCCACACACAGAGCATGACTGACTTCCATCAGTAACATGAGATTAAGAAGTGTGAACTTTACCATCAATCATGGTAATGTAAATTAAATGTTCAACAATAATATTTCTGCCATCACTCGCAACCACTTCAGTTGTAAGAAGTATATCCGTTTCATTTTTTAAACGTATTCTGAAACAATTTTTTCTTTACTCTTATTTTCAAATGAAAATCTAAGTGGACGACAATACAATGTGGATAATGGTTTACTATTGCGCCATAAAATTTATTTTACACTGCCTGAGACAGCTTAGCTCAAGTCGAACCAAGCATGTAAGGAAGAGAGACTCTTCTTTTTTTAAATCACGAATTTTACTTTTATCACTAATAGACTGTTTGTACACGCTTTGTCCAGTTGAGCCATCAAATCCAGCTTTATAATGCATGATAGCTGTATTAAAATCAATGCTCATAATAACTTCGTTTTGGAAAGTACAAAGTCTTTTGGTTGTATGATCAACTAGATTTTGCATTGGAATTCCAATTGAATAATCATTCACATAAATTCCATCTGGATAACAGGACTCCTTTGCAAATCTAACAAGATTATATGCTGGATAGAGATTAGAAGAATTTTCTAGTGCAATGTTTCTGTGCAATTGATAAGATGCTTTTGTCATATTAGTATCAAGAATTAAGGCCAAAGGTCTTTCAGGAGTTAGTTGTTGTGTTGTTGTCTTTTCATCAATTATGCTTTTAATTGCTGCTGCTTTCATTAATTTGTTTTCTTTATTTAAGGCAGTTTTAGAAGCAAACAGTAAAGTATCTGAAGAATGTTCAGTAAATTAGCTTATCCCTCTATACTTTTGTCTTAAACTACAGTGAATAAAATTAGATTGAGTCCCTGTACCTGGACTGTGACTAGAACAATCAATAAATTTATTATTTAACCAGTTTTTATTTTTAAGTTCAAAAGATTCTGCTTTGCGATAAGCAGAGCTCCATCAAATTTTCATATTTTTTAGTAAGTTTATAACTTGCAATTTTATATAGCCTTTCTTTTCATTTCCTTTATACAAGTTATGCACTATATTATCACAAATTAAATTGCATAGAAAGTCCATTTTTATTTATATAATTATATATATATATATATATATATATATATATATATATATATATATATATATATATATATATATATATATATATATACTTCATATTACTCATTGCAATGCCTAAAAGACAACATATAGAATAACAATAGTTATACAGAAAATATGGTATATAATAATCTGTAAACATTTATTACAATTTTATCTTGTATTTATTAAATTAAATTATTATGCAACCTATAATATACAATAGTTTTTATTAAAAAATAGATTACATAAAAAAGTTTGCCCTGCGAAATAATGTGAAACATTAAATTTCTAAATATTAATTGTAATCTTGAGTGCAAGACTCTGCAAACAAATTAAATCTATAAAAATTCTAAATATTATAGATTTTCAAAAAATGTTATCAAAACCTTAAGCAAATTTGGCCAAGAAAATATATTTACCATCAAAAATGGGTTATATTATTTTATTTTTTTAATTTTTTTTTAAAGTCATCTTACAATGTAAATAAACTATAATTCAATGCTTTAAAAATGTAATTAACTTATTCAAGCTAAACAAAAAGTATGTTCTTAATTTGATAATTTAAGACTTATTTGAATGCGAAATAATTTAAAAGCATAGCTTAATTACAAAAAACACAATTTTTGTGTTTTTTTTGTAATTAAGCTATGTTTTTAAATTATTTTGTAATTAAGCTATGTAAAAACATCTTTTTCAAATCAGTATAATTATTGTAGCCTAATAAACATGTATTTATTTTATTTATAGACATTTATAGTTTAGTTTACAATATAATATTTATTAAAGACGGTAGCAACAATTTTTTTTCCTGGTTTTTGTAACACATCTGGCCCACTGCGCACTGTAGTATTAGATGGCATTCTTTTTAAACTGTTTTAATTTTCAACACTGACTACACATTTTCTAGTAACATTGTGAAATCTATTTTTTTCGAAATTCTTTGTCCAATATTTTTTTTTTTTAATTAACTTATTTGATTGCTTATATGACATTCTAAAAAATAAAGTGTTACTGAAATTATTCTACTATATTAAAAAAGACTTGAAAAATATACGTTTTCAAAATGAAATTTAATTACCTTTGATTTAAACATTAACTTATAATTTGTTATTATAAGTTAATGTTTTTTGATATTTTTAGTGTGTATTTATTCTGTTTTGTGATAAATTTATTTGATATATATACCCAATATATACATATTTTTGTTTTAATGTTATTTCTTTTATCTAAATAGGACCATCATTTGGAAATCCACTTATTGATAAAGAAAGGTAAGCTAATTAAAGTAAGAATGAAAAAATGTTTTGAATAACCTTGAAGAACACATATTAATCAAGCCATAGTATCAATGGTCAAACTTATAAGCATAAATTTAAAAAAATATTTTGACAGCTTATATGCTACACATAAATCTACACAAAAACTATAATGGTTACTAGAACATTTTAACATTACTAGATTACTCATAATTTATTCCGAAAATTTTTGTAATTATTTTTTTGTTGCTCACCCACCAATATATTTTTTATCTCACATGTCAACTTATTTTTCATCTCCTTTCTAATATATTTTTTATTTTATTTGTTGATATAATTTTTAGCTGTTTTTGGAGTTAAAACTTCTGAATAAATTTTAGTTTTTTATTACTTCAACTTTTCCTTGATGTCATATTCAAGTAAAAAAATTACTTTTACATAAGCCCATGAAACCTACTGTTAAAAATAAAATGTCATTTATATAAAATGTAGAAATAAGTGATTATAATAAACTACTGATTATTCTAACTTGATTGTTTTATTTTTACATAATACCGATAATATCATTATTGTTAATTTTTATGTATTTAGTATATTTGATGGTTTAACTCGAGCTGGAAAAAGAGGTTTTTTTTTTTTTTCTTGTTGGTATTTTTGCTGGGTTTTATCTGTTTTAAAGCTTTTTAATAATTTTCTTTTTGAGTTTTGATTTTCAAAGTTGAATTAAAACAAAAGGTAAAAAACAAATTTAAAAAGGTTATTATGTTTTTTGTTTGTGTGAAGGTGTGATATTAGATTTAATCCACATTGTTCGTCAATATGCTAATGGAAATAATCATGGAATCGCATGCACCTCAGATGACCAGGTTTTTTTTTTTTTTTTATGCTTAATACTTAAATTTGCTCAATGTATTTTGTCAATATTAATTTGTCAAGCACAACTAAAAATAGTGTGGCCAAAATTAATTTTATCATTTTCGTATTTGCTTAGTAGCAAAATTGTTAATTAAACTTTCAAAATTTAAGGTTGGGGTTTTAAAGAACAGCTTACACAGCAATTGATGGTAATTTGTTTTTTAGTAGAGAAAGAGGGCAGGATATTTTAAGACTAATGTTTCAGGGCTTAGGAAGCATCACCTCTATTCACATTCAGTCACTCTGTTTGTTGTGGGTTGGGTCTGTAAAGAGTAAAGAGGAGTTTTCAAAAAAAATTAGAATTGTTTTAATCAACCAAAGATCTTATTTTTGGCTGGTCAACACAATACTTATTATATTGTGTGCTGTTTGTAAGAAGTTATACTAAATGTCTGGAAATGTAAAATAAACTCATGGCATCATAATATTTACCCATCAATGCTTGTGAGAGATTTTTTGATCAAAACAACACCACAATCATATCTCAGCCACAATATTCATCAAATTTGGCCCTTCTTTCCAACTGTTTGGACCAATTTTCTCCTGCTCCTAAAACTAAAGAGATCTCTGAAAGAATGAAGATTCGCAATTATTGAGGAGATATCAGAATTGTTTTAAAGTTCAGGTGTTTTATATCTTGGAACAGAAGGGATTTTTATTTTTTATTTATTGGTTTTATGATTGATTTATTATACTTTATATATATACAAATTTATATAGTAAAATTCTGCAAATTACAATATAATGATTGTATAGTAAAATGAAATTTAGTTATTGCGTTAAAACAAATATGCCTGAATTTAAAAGTTAAATTAGTAAATCCTGTTAAATTTCATCTGTTTGTATCAGCATATTAATATTTGATTGCAGAAAAGGATAGCTTTTAAAAAACTAGAATAATTAAAAAATGTTGTTATCAAAAAAGCAGGTAAAACTTTATTAAACTCATCATTCTGCAATAATAAATCATCATTAGTTGATAATATGTTAAGACTCATGTTAAATAATTTTCAAAAATGATTGCAAAATATAAATTTCTTATACAAAACATAATAGACTACATCCCATAATCTGATATATGTATACATATATTCATATATACATATATATATATATATATATATATATATATATATATATATATATATATATATATATATATATATATATATATATATATATATATATATATATATATATATATGTATATATATATATATATATACATATACATATACATATATATTTTTTTGTTTTTTTACAATTGAAGTATATACATACTTATATAAAAGATGAAATTCCAAGGAAAAATCAGATTCAGATAGTGTTATACTAACATTTGACATTTTCAATCTAAACACAAGCAATTCATACAATCTAGGTTTCACAAACATTAAAATTCTAAGTTGAAAAACATAAATCATCACTGATTTCCTCAGAATCATCAACTTTCATTTTAAAAAGTAATTTCCTTTTTGATGACTAATTATTTTTTCCAGATTTTATGTATATCTACAGAGCCCATTCTAGGAAAAAAGTTTGGGCGGCAGTAACCCACTCGTTTCAGAAAACTTTATAAAAAAATTAGCATTTTTTTGCAACAAAAAAAATAACATTTGCCATAAAAAAATGAAAAAAATTATTTTTAAAAAAAAGTCCTTAAATTTTAATTTGGGCGGCGCCCAAATATGATCGACGCTATCGAAAACAATCTAGAATAGCCCCTAATACAAGTGTAAAAATTTTGAATTGTTTGAACTAGACTATGCATGCCTTACAATTTGATTTTTAAAAGAATTTTTTAAAACTATTTCCCTTTTTTAGAATTTTTTAAAACTATTTCCCTTTCCCAAAAATAGTTTTAAAAAATTTTCTTAAATAAAAAGTTAAAAATATTGATTTTGATTTGAAAGATATAAAAAATAGTAAGTAACCATTATATTTATGATCAAAATCATCAATATATAAAAAAAAATAATGGTTATTTTTTAGCATGGCAAAAAATAAAATTTTATATAAGTATTTTCTTTTTCTGAAAATTTTCTTTTAGTATGCGAAATAACACCTCTTTAAGTATGCGAAATATATTTGTGCTATTAAAAATTAGATACAAAGTAGATATATATTAAAAATAAATACAAAGTAGTTATACATCCTGATGGCTTAGATTGTGTGGAACTAATAAAAATGAATGATAAATGGAACTAGTGACTAAAAATTAATAATTAAAAGGTAATTTATAAAAAACTAAAATGTTCTTCTTTTTTTTTTTTTTTTTTATCAGGTTGCGTCAAATGGGAAGAAAATTGTAAATACTGTTGATTTTACTTTTTGCAATTTCAGAAGTTATGAACAACTTTTAAAATGTGAGTTCTTTTAAATAAAAAACTCAAAGAATTAAAATATTTTTATTTTTTACAGACCGTTTAATAAATTTTACTAACCATCTATCAACTTTTACAGACCATCCGATAAATTTTACAGACCATTTAAAAAAACAGTTTATCTGTTCTTCTTATAAGGGGTTTTAAGATATAATCCCACCGTGTTCTTGGAAGTTTTATGCTTAGTTCTTTTCTGTAGAATTTTGATAAAAACTTCCAAAAAACAGGTTTTCACTGATTTATTCTAAAGTCTTCATTTTTTATTTATATATATATATATATATATATATATATATATATATATATATATATATATATATATATATATATATATATATATATATATATATACACACACAGTATGGGTCAAAAAAAATCGACCAAGATATTTTATGTGGTTTTTTTACAAAATTTCTATGTAAAATATATAGAAAAAAATTTAATGAGTGATTTTATTTAAAGTATCAATATATAAATATCATGCTTTTAACACATATATATAAAATGTATATAAGTGTATAAAATGTATATATATATTTAAAAAGATAAAAAATATCTTTTTAAATATATATAAATATATACCACCAAAATGTTTTTTTGAAGAAAATCAACATTAAAGCATTAAAAGACATATTTTATAATGTAATGATGATTTCATAAATATAAAAGTATTACCAAATATACATAGTACAAAATAATTGTTGGCAGAATTATTGTATTCTATTATTATCTTGAAAGAGTCATTTTATTTGAAACAAAATCTAGTACTTGGTCACCTTTTGCAGCTGCTTTGATTCTTTTAGGCATACTGTCAACAAGCTTTGTTAATAACAATGGTTCTAAGCTATTCCATGCCTCTTTTACGCAATTGAAAAGACAAACTTCATCATTACACATTCTTCTTTTATTTTTATCTTTGAGTATGGACCATAGGTTTTCAATTGGATTTAGGTCGGGAGATTGGCTAGGCCACCATTTCAGAGTTAGCATATTTTTTTCAATATATGCTTTGTTATATTTTGCGGTCATTATCTTGTTGAAATAGATAGTTACCATCTGGAAATAATTCCAAGCAACTTGGCTTTGCATTATGAACAAGGATACTGTGGTACTGGTATTGATCCATATTGCCTTTAATCTTGTGAATCCTTCCTGTAGCATGTGCGGCAAAGCATCCCCATACATTAATCTTTTTTTGATACTTAACAGTGGCTTTTATACATTCATGGTGATACTTTTCATTACGACGCCTCCAAACACGAAATCTTCGATTGCATCTAAAGCTAAAAGGAGACTCATCTGACCAAACAACTTGTCTCTATTGGATAATAGTCCAGTCTTTATGCTCACTGCACCATTGAAGCCTACGTGCAATGTTGATCTTTGATAAAAGAGGTTTTTTGATAGCCCAATGAGAATCTAAATTTTTACACTCATATATACGAATTATGGTTTTTCCAGAAATATTGGTAATACCAGTTTCTACTTTTATCCCATCTGTAGAAATACGGCGATTTTTAAGGGCAGCTTGGACAATGCGTCTCTATCTTCTCTTTTAGTAGTTTTTCTCTTTCTTCCTGATCCAGATTGACGGACTGTTTCTCATGTCTCCTTATACTTCTTTAGAAAATTAGTAACAGCACTTTTTCCGCATCCAACCTTGCTTGTAATATCTCTGAGTCATACCAAAGGATGACATCTCAATAATTCTTCCTTTACTAATGTCATTTAAAACATTTTTTATATATTATATATTTATCTAGTCTAAAATGTAATAAATTAGCATATCTAATATAATAATATCTAAATTATCATTAATAAATACATTTTAGATTTTTTTTAAATATACAGGGTTAGGGTAAGGTTAACCCTGTCTATCTACAATTTATATTTTATTACAAAATAATCAAATAGCTTAAGAGTTATTTAACCACAACTATGACAAATAAGAGCCCAAATAAGAAGTAGTTGAGAAAAGTTAACTTAGACTCAATATGAAACTCTTTTTTAATATAAGAAATGAGTTATAAGATATTTAAATAAACAAGAAGTATGCAAAAAGTTGAGATATTGGTTTAAACATGTAAGAAATGCTTTTAAAACCCATAAAATGTAAATTTTTCTGCAAAAAAATCATGGCCGGTTTATTTTGGCCTATACTGTATATATGTATGTATGTATGTATGTGTATATATATATATATATATATATATATATATATATATATATATATATATATATATATATATATATATATATATATATATATATATATATATATAACAGGTGATAATTAAAAAATGAGACCTTGCATATCATATTTTCATATCATAATAAAAACAAATGTTTAGAAAAATAAAATTATATTTATTTTAATTAAAGGTACATCATTTATCTTTAAGAAAACATTCGATTATGGTCCATCATCAGCAGTTCGACGTAGTTTTGTCATGATGTTGGAACAAGAGCATTGTACAGCATTTATATTAATTTGACAAAGACATCTTTTGATTTGGGTAATCAATTGTTTGCAATTCTTTGCTCTCCAGTTGTTTTTGTATACTAACAAACTCAAATATCCAATGAAATCTTCAATTGGGTGACACTAAGGAAAGTTTGTCAGGAATGTTTTGGCTTTCCAAGAAGACAGGTTTTTTTGACATAATGCAATGATGCTTTATTTGACCAAATCAAATAATTGCCATTGAAATGATATTTTTCAAGAAATGGAATCAATATTTTGTTCAAACATTGATTTTGGTATACTTTTTGATTTATAGCCAAACCACTCAGCTTAAACAATGGCTGGGAAATTCCCCTCCTAGATATGGCAATGTACAGCATCACTTTCTGCTCAAACTTGTGTTTATATTTGTATTTTGCTTTTGTAGGTGTTGTAGAACTTTTATCTGCGTAATATTGATCATTTCCTGGAACTTGCGTTTTGGAGAGGAGGAAGTAACTTTTGTCATCCAAAACAAAACCAGAGTAATTTTCCAGAGTAATTTTAGGTCATCCAGCAGCATCAAGATTTCACGGTTGATATTTGTTGCTCGGTGTATTCCGGTGCTCTTGTTTTTTTTCAGCATGTTTTTTCAACAATTTGCAGACATAAAACTGCGTACACTTAAACTTTTCTGCAGCATCTCATTGACTTATTGAATTATTGTTGTTGAAAGCACCGTGAAGTAAATGAAGTCCCTTCTTGTTCATTATTTTAGCTGGTCTTCCACTACTATTTTTATGATTGGTTGTTAAGGATGCTATAATACGGTAAATAGTTGAAACTCAAACATTTTTAGTTTTAAAATGATTCACAGTAAACTTTTTACTGAGATTTTTGTGCATTTGATAGAACTGTACTATGTGCTCACGTAGTACATCTTGTTTTGACAGCGTTTTAAATACAACTAAATTAACTGATGCAAAACAAAACATAAGTTTGTAAACAGAGAGAGTATAGTTTCACTTAGGAGTACTTTTCTTTTTTTGACTTTTGCAGTTTGATTTTGGAGGGCTATAATTTTCTCATATTTTAGTTATCACCCATATATATATATATATATATATATATATATATATATATATATATATATATATATATATATATATATATATATATATATATATATATATATATATATATATATATATATATATATATATATATATATATATATATATGTATATATATATATATATATATATATATATATATATATATATATATATATATATATATATATATACATATATATATATATATATATATATATATATATATATATATATATATATATATATATATATATATATATATATATATATATATACACATATATATATATATATACACATATATATATATATATATATATATATATATATATATACATATATATATATATATATATATATATATATATATATATATATATATATATATATATATATATATATATATATATATATATATATATATATATATATATATATATATATATATATATATATATATATATATATATAGAAACTAATTGAATATTTAATCGAATCATAGTATTAACTATGTTGATTAATAAATTATGACCATTGTCCTTTTTAGTTAGGAGTTATCTTTTTTTTTGCATATTTGACTCCTCTTCATATACTCATAATTTACGTGTAAACTCTGTTCGTACTAAAAACTTTACTCAGTTGTTTGCGTTACATGTAGACATTTTTATTATCTGTTTACATTGGCAATCATAAAATGAATTTTCCATGTGTTTTTTTATGAGTTTAGGATAACCCAAAAGAATGTTTAACATTAATCAAAAAGAAAAGATTAACATTCTTTAGTAATTTTTATTGAAATGAGAAGTTTAAACAAAAAATTATAGGAACAAAGTTTCTATGAAAAAGTAAACAAATGGAAAATTTAATGACTTTTTATGAATGTTACTATTTAATTCTGGTAAGTTTTAGGAACAACAATGCTGGATTATTTATAACAGATTTATTAATCTAAGTGGAGTGAAATATGTATGCATTAACTGAGCATTTCAGTTGTGGCATAATGCTTCAATAATTTCTTTACTTTAGTGGGTTCAAACATTATAAATATAAATAAAAGTTTACATTATTATTTTAACTTAATTTTAGTTAACTATGTTGTAAACACAAATTGCAAAAAAAATAGTTTATGCTTAAGAGATTAAGTCTTGTTATTGTAAAAACTTTTGACTTTTGTTATTGTAATAGTGAACTTTTGACTTGCTTTTATATTTATTTATTTTTTTGTTGAACTGCTCCATTTTATAGTTGATTTGTTATTGTATACTGATTGCATAAAAAATAAAAGTTTTTTTTATTTTATATTTCTATTTGTTTTATATTTAGCAGAAGTTGTTGTCACTGAAAAGGAACAAAAGGTTTTTGTTTTTTAAATTTTTGTAAATTATTAGCTAATATTTAAATAATATGTTTATGTGTTAAATAATAAAGTTATTTTTGTATTACTATTATTATTATTATTAATATTATTATTGTTATCGTTATTACTGTTATCATTTATAGCAATATTGTTTTTGTATTATTGTTAAGCTGGTAACAATTTTATTTTAAAAGGAAACTTTGCGAAAGATAGATGAACATATTTCTGAAGTAGTTTTAGTTGCTGAACCCAGTTCCATTGTTGTAATTGCATTGAGTAATGGTTTCATTCCATCTAAAACAATGAGGTAAACATAAAATTAACTCCCTGAAAGTATTTTTTAAGTAACTTTTTTTTCAAAAAGTTTTTAACTAAACTATATTGTTTGATACTTTTATAAAGTAGTTGTGAAAAAAAATCTTATCCACACTCAGGAGTTTGAAAATTAATTCAAGTTAAGTCTGTAGTTTATTACTTTAAACTCCTTTAAGTTTATATGTGATTGTTTGATAAAAGCTTTAAAATTAACTAATTTTATGTGTTACACTAGCGAATCTTTTTTCAGTGGTAACATTTCCTCTCTAAGTTTACCAGATTTGAATTATCTATAACGAGCTAACTGATTCTTCATATTCAGCCCCATATAAATCACAGACATATTTTTCTAGCATATTTGTTAATTCATTAAGTGACAATCTGAATAATGAACATAGTTTCCTAGAAAATATTTTAGTTCATCAAGTTTGACATTGTGTGATTTAAATGGGATTTAAACTGTGATTTAAATGGGGTTGAACAAGAAGCATCAGCTAATTCAGCTCATTACAGATTATTTAAATCTGGTAAATTTAGAGAAGAAACTCAAGTGCATTACATAAAAAGAGCTAATTTAAAAAAAAAATTCAAAAAGCAATCATATAGGGGTGATTAATTCTCTAAGTCCTTTCAGAAATTGTTGTTTTAATAATCAAGGTTCTATTTCCATATCTTGAATAGAGTTGCCTGTTGCACCAGGTTAGGTGCTAGATTTTGCTTATTGTTATTGCCCTAATGATTGTTTCATAAAAGATTTGTTTCTAATAAAGATGGTGTAATTTGTGCAGATGTTTGCAATTGTAAAGGTTACACTAATCAAAGGAGGATGACAACAAGTAGTCAGATAAACTATATGAGTTGGAGTGTTATAATGATAGTAAAATGAACTAGATTTTTTTTTTATAACAAAATTATTAATTTTTATATTTTCTGACATTCAACTGTGAGATAAACATCATTTTAATTAGTTGATAGAAATCATCCTGTTTTAAAACTCTAAGAGGGTTTCTGTACACAGTAAAACTTTGACCTTATCCATTTATAGGGACCGTAAAAATATAGGATTTTTTTTTTGTATTAACTCAGTTTGTTTAGCTCTTCAAAAATACTCTTCTCGAAATTTAGGTACTAAGTATGTATAGCATATGTTTTTTTTTTCCTGCAATAGATGCTGGCCTAATAATTATGCCAGCCTGTTACTGCGATTGAAAAAAATATTAAAAACAAGTTTCTAAATTAACCCAAACACTTTGATGTAAATAACGCAAACATTTTAACAAAGTTGTAGAAATAAGGTCTTGCTTTGCGATAATTTTTTTTATAATTAAACAGCAATCTGTATTTAAAAGAAAACAAAAAATGTTTTATAATCTATAACAAACGTAGATATAAATCACTGGATACAACATAGGCAAAAAAAATTTAAAGCAAGCAAATTTTACCCTGATGATGAAGAGTGAAAAAAACAAATTTAGTTAAAAACAGTGTATATATTATTCACATATTTACATTTTATATTTCAGTTTAAAGAACTTAAAGCTGTATTTTGCATTTCCTAAATTATAAAGTTATTTTGGAGGCATTTAAAATTCATAAATAATTTTTAAATATATGTTAATTTTAGTTTAACTGAATAAATTTACCCCAGAATCTACATAAAAAGATTTTTAAATTCAAAAAAAAAATCTTCACAAATACTCTGCAATGCAAGTTTATTAAAAAAATTTATTAAAATAGTGACACAAACTCAGTATATAAATTGTATGTATGTGGTTTTATATTGCAATATTTATATGAAGTTTATAGAAGATTAACTTTGAGCATAAAAATATACATCTATATATAGGTTATACACACTGTATATATAACTTGTTATAACATAAATATATCTAAATATAATATATATTTTTGTATATTATATTTAGAGTTTTTCCCATAAACTGTTATTTTAAAGAGCGCGTTAATAAGCCTGACTAGAAATTGTTGAAAAACTTCAAAAAAAAAATTTTTTTTTTTAAATGATAGACTGCCTGCCCAAACCAAACTCTCAGTCGATGTAGCAGCACTCCCCTGCAAGTCAGGCTATTTGTCAGTTGATGTAGCAGCACTCCCTTGCGAGTCAGGCTATTTGTCAGTCGATGTAACAGCACTCTGTTGCGAGTCAGGCTATAAAATAGTCGATGTAGCAACACTCCCTTGTAGCAGCAGGCTATAAAATAGTCGATGTAGCAACACTTACGCATATTTTTAAAATGTTTTTTAATAAAACAAAAACACAAATTAAAAAAAACTTTCTAGTCATTATTATTGCGGTTTTTTTAAAAAACAATAAAATTTAATGTACTTCCGCATTAATTTAATTGCTATGACATTTTGACGACAATAAAATGCAGCTTAAGAGACAAGGTAAAAAAATTGTAGTTAAAAGAGACTTTTTTTACCATAAAAGTCTCTTTCGACTACACTATAAGGATATATATATATATATAAATATATATATATATATATATATATATATATATATACACATATATATATATATATATATACATATATATATATATATATATATATATATATATATTTATAAATATATATATATATATTTATATATATATATTTATTTATATATATATACACATATATATATATATTTTTTTTGTTAAACAAAATTTCGGAGTTGATTACTAAATGCAGGCACGAAAAAAGTTTCTCCTAAAAAACTATAAAAATAAGTGAGCTCAAATAATAGTTACACTAAATCCCCCATTTTTTAAAAGTAATTTTATAAAAAAAAGCCTAAGTAATCATTTCTAAAGAATTCTTTTTATAATCGTATCAGCAAATTCCACAAATGTGTGAAAATTTACACTAGTTAAAACATTTGCGACTTTTTTTTTTTTTTTTTTTTTTTGTTTCAACATCTTCGCTTTTAACAAGGCTGCAAGCAGCCACTAATTAGTGTTTAAAATTACTGGAAGAGAAAAGATGAAGATTGTAGAGCAAGATAACGATTGACAGACGACATAAAAGATTGCAAATTGTATGAATCAGGAAAGCAAGATGAAGGAAGCAAATTCCAAATAACTGATGTTCGAGGAAAAAAACTAGACGAATAAGAGTTTTTGGAGCACTTAGGAACAGTAACAGAAAAAGGATGAGACTTTGTTGAAAGGCGAGTAACACGAGAATGAATTTTAGTAGATGGCACAAGAGAGATAGTTTTATCTGAATTAAAATGCACCAGCCATTGTAAGTCCCATACTGTAGCAGAAGTGAGATCTTTTTCAAGCTCAAATGCCCCCTGCAAGGAAATCAGAGGAAGTTGGCTTCTTATCGTGACAAGAATAAATGGTAGTATCATCGGTGAACAATGCCATCTTAGATGTGAGAATATCTGGAAGATCGTTAATGTAAATTAAAAGAGTATAGGGCCAATGATTGAACCTTGAGGAACCCCTGAGGTTACAGAATAAGAAGATAAGTGCTGTCCATCAAGGACAACTTTTATACTACGATTGGAAAGGAAGGGTTCAATAATCTTAAAGATGTTTTCAGATACACCATAAGAAGAAAGCTTATGGAGAAGACCAGCATGCCAAACTTTATCAAACGCTTTAGAAATGTCAAGAGCGATGGCCTTAACCTCTCCACTAATGCGCGATAAAACCTTTTGGTTATTACTGTTAGCAAATCAGCCGTAGAACCTTGCTTATGATAGAAAGAAGACTTTTTTTTTTTTTTTTTTAATTTTATATTAATTCACCTCCTCAAGGCCAAGAAGGCCACTACAGACGAGGAGGCTACTTATTTTGTGGCTATAACCCTCTCTCAACTCTATAACTCCGAAACACGAACCTTGACAAACAAGGCCGCTGCGCAGAGAAACGAGTTAAGCGCGGTACTACCAGGGACGTGGTGGGGATCGAACTTGGAACCACTCGTTTATGAAGCGAGTGCTCTACCACTACACCACTACCGCATAATGGGACGGTAGTTTGACAAATCGGATCGCTCTCCAGAATTTTTAAAAAATAGGGATAATAGATGCTGCTTTCCAGCAGGCTGGAAAACAAGACTCTGATAAGCACTTATTGAATAGTTTTGAAAGGATATACGACAGCTCTGGAGAACACCTCTGCAAGACTATAACAGGTATGTTGTCCGGGCGGCAAGCTGTAGAAGAGTCTAAGCAGGAAATCACTTTAGATACAGTAGCTGGAGTGATACGGATGTCGAGCAATTGATCAACCTGTTTGACGGCTATATCAGGTAGAACGCAACTAGTGGAATCAAGAGATAATATTGATGAAAAGTTCTTAGCATACAATTCAGCTTTGTCTTTAGGTGAGGTGACAAAGTCTGAACCATACAAAAGAGGTGGAATTACAGACTTGCCCTTATTTTTGATACTATTGAAGACTCTCCAGAAGTCACGAGAGCCTAATTTTTGTGATAAAATACGAGATTTCATGATCTGAGAATAGCGGGCTTTGGCGTTAGACAAAACCTTTTTACAATGGTTCCTAGCAGTAATAAACAGACGTCTATTTTCTGGAGAATTGTTTTGCTGATAGATATGGAAGTAATGGTTTCGATTGGCAATTGCAGCAGCACAATTCTAGGAAAACCATGGAGAAGAGTGAGGCTTGACCTGGAATCGTCGAGAGGGAATAAAGGATTCCATGCCAGCCTGAATCCACAAAGTTATGTAAGAAGCACATTTGTAAACAGGAAGACGAAAGATTTCTAACCAAGGGCCATCACTAAGAAAATCACGGAAAGAGTCCCAGTCAGCTTTAAGGTAGTTGTAAGATTTACAATGATAGGGGGTTCTGATGGTAAAGAAGAATGAGGTAATAGTTTTAGAGAGATCAAACTGAGATCAGAGGCACCTAAGGGTGAATTTGGAGAAACTGAGAACTGACTAGGATCAGAACCAAGACATAAGTCAAGTAGAGAAGGTAAGTGATTCGGGTTGTCTGGAAAACGAGTTGGAAAGTTGACTATTTGAGTTAGGGATTGAGAAAGGCAAAAGTTGTGGGCCTTAATGCCTGCAGAGTCACTGACACTAGAGCCAAACCATTCAGTGTGATGAGCATTAAAGTCACCGACAACAACAATGTTGGCTGATAAATAAAGAGAGAGGGCTTGGTCAATATGATCAGAAATAACATCAAGAAGAGTGCAGTCTTGAAATGAAGAAGGACGATATAGAACAAAGAGAAAGTTGATAGAGTAAAGCGGTGCTAAACGAAAGCACATAAAAGAGTAGTCTGTGGATTCAAACCTAGTTTCCCGACAAATGGGTGAATTCTTACGAATGTAAATGCCCAGTCCAAGCATGTGACTATTGGAGTCTTTACGAATTAAAGGGAGATAACTATCAACACTAAAATCACAAGATGAGACAGCTGAACTCAAATTAGTCTCACAAAGAGCAAGTAGGTCTGGTGAACTTTGCAAGAGATAAGACTCAACAGAAGAAAAGTTACTTCGAAGACCACTATCATTAGTGAATGATAGGTTTAGCGAACTTGGTGATGACTGTGATTTTTTGTGTTTTATAGTTTTTTTTACTTTATTCATTTTTAAATTTGTTAAAGAACTTGACTCGAAACATAGATAGTACTTATTACACTGTTTTATAGCCCAAGCAATTGCATCATTACTATTAATAAACCATAAGCCGTAACAAAGGGCTCCAATGTGGCTTTGGTAATGCACACCAAAAGTACAAACAGGGACACCATCCTTGCGCAACATGGCATTGTTAGTACTTTGATATTTTTCAGCTGTTGATGGAATCAGCCTCTCTGAGAGCTACCACAGTGTTCGGGAAACCTGACTACCAGCCGGCCTCAGAACCATAAAATTGAGTTTTAGAGGTGTACCCTCATTAGGAGATAATAGAATTAGTTGCCTAGTCATAAAAACAGAGACACATGCAACACCCATGCATCGGGTCAAGATGATCCAGCGTTCAACATCCTAAACTGGAAACAATGTATTAAAAATACATCTGCGCCAGCCTAATAGATGAAGAAGGGATGCGAGGCTGGTCAACAGATAGATTCAGTTTACCCCTTAAGTCTTTGCCTAGGAGGCTTTCTACAAGACAGCAGCCGGATGCATATTTTTATCGAGACACCATCTCTAGCCTTTACTCATACAAGAGCCCCAAGGCAGGGGGTGTTTTATGTCGGAGTTGGCATCTCCTCGCTTTTGCCTAAAAAGGCTTATATTACTTTCTGTAATTTAATTTTTTTGGTATAAATTGAAGTTTTATTAATTTGATAATTCATTTCTGATGAGTCTTTGTTGATGAAACGCAGTGTAAAATGAAAAAAAAATTTTGTTAAGTGATTTTCTACTAATTTATGTATATATATATATATATATATATATATATATATATATATATATATATATATATATATATATATATATATGTATATATATATATATATATATATATATATATATATATATATATATATATATATATATATATATATATATATATATGTATATATATATATATATATATATATATATATATATGAAATCATCTTTCAGTACAACTATATTTAACTCTAGATTCAGTTTAAATCAGTTTGTAAACAGTAATCTCTTTATTAAATATCTAGTAAAACAAATCAGTTAAATATTCTACTGGTATTGTATAATATAAGACAGGTAATTTTACTACTTAATTTAAACAAAAATCAACATACATCCCATAACTAAAAATTTATTTGTTGTCTTTTATTTTCAAAAGTTGTTAATAAAAGTTTTTATCTTCGGAATAGAATAGTAAAATTGGAAAGTTTTATAATAATATTTACTATTTTATAGATTGCTTCGAGACAAAGAGCAGCGAAATTGTGATGAGGTAAAGAATGCAGTGAAAAAAGCAAAACAAGGAGCATGTTTTTTGAAAATCACGCGATAGATTAACATTGCAGAATTTTGAAAATCACGCGATAGATTAACATTGCAGAATTAAAGTGATAAATCACGCGATGGACTGTTAAAAATCACAGAATTAAAGTGATAAATCACGCGATAGATTACAGAATTAAAGTGAAACATGCTGCTCGTATGAAAATTACTTCACTCAAAAATAATTGTATTTTTTTAAATTGTTAAAATAATACGATATGATTTTAGAAGAATTACGAAGTAATGTAAATATTATGAAGTACATATGCATACTGCATAAAATACTTTAAAATGAAATAAAGTCCAACTCACATCACGTGCTGTATAAGCCAGAAAGTCTTTTACTTAGATATCAGTGTGTGTATTTTGTTGCGCCTGCGTTGGTAATTAGTGATGCTTTAGACATCGGTAAGAGTTTAATAAAAGTTTAATGTTAAATTACACCTTGTCTCGACCTATGAAAACTGAAGCTTCAACAAGCTCCAGCTTGTTGAAGTTTCAGTTTTTAAAATAACTCAATAATTTAATATTTACAGCATGCAGTTTACGTCGTTTTACCTAAAAACTTTTTACTATTATAACAAGTTTATTTATTAAATATAAAAACAAATTAAGTTCTTTGACGGATTATTTGGTAGATTTTCCGCATTTTTGTGTCGTTCCACAAGGTTGCCTATTAGCACCTATAATAATATAATGACACAAAATTAATATCTTTTTTGACAAAACAAGCAACCCGGCGAGCATTTTTATATATCTTACATTAAAAAAAAAACGCAAAATACATTCATAACGTATAAATAAATAGAAAATGTCGGGAAAGTTAAAAATAGAGTTTATATACTTAAAAGTTTAGTCTAAAGAATAAAACTCGCAAAAAATCATCTTGTATAATCTGATATAAACTACTGTCGTAAAAACGAAATGTAAGAACCATAAAATAATTAAAACTATAAAATATATTAAAAAGTTCGACAAACATTAAATCAAAATCAAACAATAAATTTACAAAAAAATCAAACAAATACAAGAAAATGAAAAATTGCTAAATAAAAAATATATTTGAAAAAAAATTAAAAAAAAAACGTAACAGTAATTTTAGAAGAAAAAAAATTAAAAGTTGGGCTTTTCCTAAACTGTAATTGTATAAGTTTTTTGTCTTGAGTAATGTATTTCTTGAGTAAAACAATATAAATTGAGTAACTTCCGATAACCGTTAGTAAACTCAAAAATTTTAATTATCAAGTGAAGTAATAAATATAAGTTGAATGAAATTCTTTATAAGGTAAATTTATACAAAACTTCATATTACAGTTTAATTTTTTTCATTTTTAAGAGCTACTTTTTTTTATTTATTTTTTATTTTATTTTTTTGTTCTGTCTTTTGAAGTTTAACTTCCACGTTTTAATACTTATGTGATTTTAACAGGTTACATAATGCTTATTATCTTGACATTAGGCAGGAGTTTAAGTATTTTTATTTTTTTTTTGCAACCCGGTGCCCTTCCTGACGATAACCTGTTTTACAGTCAATGACTGAGATCAGTTTAATTTCATGAACTTTTCCGGCTCTTTGTTACTTAATTTAAAACAAATCTTGATAAGTCGAATCCAAACAATTTGTTTTTTTTTCCAAATTTGATTATGCTTTGATTATCAACTTTAAAAAAAAAAAATCTTATTTTTAAAGAGGCATATGTTTTAACTGGGAGAAATTCGCACATTAAACGCATTTTGAAACGTTCATATTTGTTAGAAATAAACATTTATTATAAACATTACTTATTCGTGGATGTCCCTACATATAACGAACGAAGCTAAATTATTGTCAACCTTTATCGTTTTCTATTTATTTCTTCTCTAAGAGTCTTTATTTTTGAAAGGTATTCGACCAGCATTGATCACAACAATTTAAAGACTGAACGCATGTTCAATCTGCTTATTTATTGAAAAAGAAAAAACGAATCAGGTGGTTAACATCGAATTCTTTGTTTGACGCCTTTACTTTTAAAATATTATTTTTGATGCATTACTTTTTTTTTTTTGATAATTTTAAACAGCGGTTTTTTAGTATTGAACTTTTATTAAGTATTAAAAATTTTATAAAAGTTATAAATGCTACAATTATATAAAAAAGCAGTTGGCATATCCTTAAAAAAACCAACTGCTTATTTTAGGATATGCTAACTGTTTAAAAAAATTTAATTTTAAAAGTTTTAAAAACTTTTTAAAACTTTAAAATTTTTTTTTATTATTAATAGTATAATTTTTGGTATTAATGATATTAAATTTATTTTTTTTGTACATATAACAAATTTATTTTGTATTTTTTGATGTTATAATTTTTTGTATTTTTAGTATTTATGGTTTATCCTCTTCCGGCTAGTTGCCATACAGGGCCACATTACTGTGGCCCGCAAGGACAAGTTTGGCTTCTCAAGAAGCGTCATAACCTGCTCTACGGACCGGGAGTAAAGTGAATTTAGGATGAACGAAGATATATTAGAGCTAAAGATAGAAGTAGTCGAGTTAAAATGGTAGCATAGAGAAAGCGGTCAGGATTGCACATGATGTTGGAAGGTGCAATACGTTAGACTATATACATAATTGGCTCAGGCTAATTAATGTATGATTTTTGTATTTTGAAAGTTAAAACTATTTTTTCAATATCGAGCATATGGTTAAGAATGGTTTTTATAGGTTACGCAGTTTATTCTTGTTCATCTACTTGTTATACAGATATATATAACACGCTGACAGCAAAAACTGGTTTGAATATTTCTTTTTACAAAATTTCAAATTTTTCACGTCAATTGCGGTTTCAAAGAATAAAAGTTAAGTGACGCTAAAAAAATCTAGAGATAAATTTCAGCACCTGTTATTTAAAAAAATGCGTCAATTGTAAAGAATTATTATTTCGTGGTTTGACTAATACCATAATTTTTTGAAAATCTTTCGTAATTTTTTCTATTTAAGCTACCCGCCTAATTTCCACACTTGACGCAAAGAATTTGTTTCTTAATGCAACAGGTTTTCTAGAAGAGATCAAAAATGGTTTTAAGCTCCAAAGAGGTGTATCAAACTTTGTCAATAACTTACACATATGAAATGAAAACCGTAACTCATATGAGAACCCAATTTTTTTGTAAATTGTCTTTTAGTAATAACTTTCCACCATTTAATGAACAACATGCACTACATTTACAATCATCAATTATAGTCAACTGATAACTTTATTATACTTATACTTAAACATTTTATATTATATTAGCTTATACATTGTCAACTTGACTAACTTTAACAACATTGTCATTGACAACTTTAAAGTTTATAGTTGTTGCAGTTTATAGTTTATTGTAATTATCCTCTTTATCGTTAAGTTTTTTTCCACACTGTGAAACTCAGTATTATCTTACAACATTTTTTTGACTTCCTTTTTTGTTTAAAACAGAGGTTTGATTAAAACTGTTTATACTTTAATTGGTAACAAATTGATTTCCTCTTAATACTTTTTTCTTAGATATATTTAGTAAATCTTACAGTTTTATTCAAAAAAATTTTACTTTTATATCAATGTATCATGGATAAATTAACATATAACTTAAAAAGTTTACACTGCTGTTGTTACTTTACACAAAAGCTTTCGTGGCAAGGAGTTCAAAATGCAGCAAAAAGTTGTCGAAAAGCCATAGAAGACTTAACAGTGTTTATTTTTTGTACTATGACTCAATGTGTATTGTTTTTTTAGGTGATAATTATTAAACTTTCTTGAAAAAAAAAAGTTGCTATGGGCGTTGTTAGATAAACAAAATTTACCCTAATCGTTGATGAATTAGACCAATTTATGTACGAATTTGACAAATTTAACTACTCCATATTTGTTCTACAATGATTGAAATAAAAGAAAATCAATTTCTATAAAATCTCGAAAAAAAACATTTAAAATACGTTTTGAATTTGGGTTGACCGCCTTAAAGACGAAATCCCATTGCAATTGTAAAGTTATATTTTTATAATGTTTGTAGTTTGTTATAAATAATAATAACCTTAAATAATGATAATAAAAATATTAACAATAATAAAAAAAACAATAACAACGATAATAATAATAATAATAATAATAACAATAATAATAATAATAATAATAAAAATAATAATAATAATAGTAATAATAAACTCCAGCTCACTGGCTAAAAACTATACAAAGAATAAAACAGTTGTAATTATATAGTAACTTATCAAAACTTATAATGTTAACAATAAATGAGAATATATGTGTATAAAAAAAAATAGAGTTTTATTTACATCTTTTATTTAAGCTTATAGCCTAAATTTAAACAGTTGTAAGGTTACAACTTGCATGGTTCTTTTCAATTATAAAGTTCTTATTTTATAACAGTTAAGTAGGAATAATAAATTTTGGAAGTTTAAAAAAATAACCTCGTCTAATGGTTTTTCAGTTTGCAAAATTCCTTCTAGTAACTCAATGTAACGTTTAGCGGCTGTTAACAATTCGAGTTTAGTGATTTTAATTTTTTCCTTTACACCAGGTATTACGTTTTTTAAAAATTCAATTGCAATATTTATAGAGCTAACACGTCTTCTTTCTCTGGGATTTGCTACTATACGTTTTATCCATAAACGATAAACATGTTCTTCTGAGTTAAATGACTCAGAAAAAGATAAAAATAATAATAACCTTAAATAATGATAATAAAAATAATAACAATAATAAAAAAAAACAATAACAACGATAATAATAATAATAATAATAATAATAATAATATAATAATAATAATAATAATAATAAAGTAAAGATTATTTTCTTATTTAACGGCATGTAAAAGTTCTTTTGGACATGAAACAAAATCGGAGATGAAACAAATTGATGGAGAGTAATTTTATAATGCATTCTTTATGTCACAATTTTTCTGACTTCAACAAATTTAGCTTTTAAAAGCAAGAATATTGTTTTTAAATTTTAATTTATATATTGCGTTATTTTATTTATAATTTAAAAGTTAAAATTAAAATTTATGATTGGATATAAATATGGATTACTAATTTGATAATTTTTTATTTGCAATTAGAATTCAATCAAAAATTGTTCAAAAATGGGAATGGAAACTTCTTGGAGCTTATTGCTAAGCAAGGCCACGACATTGGCGCTAATATAGCAGGTATTTACAATGGAGTTCAAGTCTTGATTAGGCAGAATAATCTACAAGCATTT